TACAGGGTGTTTACATTTTGTGGGTACCAGAAACCGTCAATATTTCAAGGGACAAGGGCTGCACTATTTCCAGAGAGATTTGATGTAAAAATGAAGGGGTCTGAAATTCGTGTCCCTCCTGACACCAGGCTCATAACAGACACGACACCTTGCAAATGTGATCACGAAGCCAAATATAATGTATGTCAATGTTAATTGACATAGTACATCAATTAGAATACCAGTATATACCAATTTTCTCTATTATTGAAACGAAATCTTTTTCCTACAGCCAAGAACATGAAATAAAAATTTCAATAGGTGTTATTCAAAACTTATTTAATGAATTAAAAATAAATGATTAAGTCGTTTCGGACTTCACCTGTCTCGGTTAACCCCAGTTTTAAATACCATATATATAATGTAATTCGTTTCGTTTTATCTTATGGTAACTGTTTATAAAGTAAATATAAAATGTTTATCTCAATAATAGCCAGAACCTAAAATAAGTAATTATATCTATGATTTAATGAATTTTAGGATTAAAATTAAGTTTTAATGATGCTTTCCATCAAGCACCTGTCTTAATTCTTATTTCAGCTTGCTGATAAAAAAAAAGTATAACAAAATTTTAAGACTTAAGATATTTACAAATTTATATTTCCGCAAGTTCTTTGGTTTTTTTTTTAATCGTTTGATGAAAGTAATATAAAAATATGGTACAGTGATTTAGTCACCACATCGGAGGGGTAATTGTACTCGATATTTAAGGGTGATTTTAAGCTAGAGAATTAGCTCACTCGAGTTCATTCATAAAAACACAGTCTATTACAAAGCTTTAAAATGCAAATTTGCGTTTACCAATAGAAAGCGAAATAAGGAATATAAACTTAACGAAGGTATAGAGAACACCAACTGTTGAATAATATATTTTATTGTTTTGCACAAATGTTGATATAATAGCATTTAGGTGCTAATATTTGCCACAGTAAGAAAATATGTTCAAACGGAAGACTTTTGCTTTGATGAATGATAATTCTCAACATTTATTTTAAAAATGCATTATTTCTTGACATAATTGATGCGATTTATTGTCACTGTAATCATAATAGTTGTAACTTATTTATCCAAGAATTATTGTCGTAGCTTCAATAAAAATAATCCGACGTGATGCCATGCACAATACCACCTATATGTATTCTAGCTCGATCTTTTTTACAGTTGAAAACCTAGCTTGTCGCTGTACGTTTTCTATAGGTAGGATGCACAAATACCGTATTCATAGCTGTAATTAAAATTGTTTGTGTTATTTCAATATATTAAAATTTGAAGTAAGTCTTATGCTTTATACGACGAATTATTATTTCATTTCGTAAGGTGTAAGGTGTAAGGTGTAAGGTGTAAGGTGTAAGGTGTAAGGTGTAAGATGTAAGGTGTAAGGTGTAAGGTGTAAGATGTAAGGTGTAAGGTGTAAGGTGTAAGGTGTAAGGTGTAAGGTGTAAGGTGTAAGATGTAGATATATATCGTAAATAATACGAAAACATACATTCTTTCGTATTTCACTGATCGTGGTAAAAAGTGAGAGGGTTGAGTGTTCAAAAACTAGTTAAACCTCACCACATCACAGTTCATTTACCTGTCCCAAGTAAGGAACATTGTCAGAGGCTGTATCGTTATATGCCATTTTATTCATTTATTTTGGATCTTTTTCTTTCAGGGATTGTTTTGTTGATGAAAGATCTTTCATAGACTCTGTAAAATATATTCACACGGTACCGGAACAATTTAAAGCTTAGTACAGACACTTGTCTGTTGTTGAAGATTACATGTTGACTTCTACCTTTCTTTTAGGTTTTTTGTGTGTTTGGGTTGCTGTCTCATTGACGTATATCCCACGCCTCCTATAACGGTCATATATAAATGACAAATTTATTGATTGATTGTTGGTTGCTTATGGACAAATTTATTAATGCTACATGTATTCTTCCAATGTCGAAACAGTGAAGATGTGTAATATTTTGACAGTAACACATATATAAATGACGAAAAAGGTTAAACAACCAAGATTCAGACAACACCCTGCCTAACACTCGAGAAATAGTTTAAAAGAAAACAGGTATGAAGATCTGGCAAAAACATAAACAGGAAAACATAATGGCTTATTGACTGGAAATGGCGATGGATGGAAAGAACAAGATACGGTGATCGGCCGACACTATATATAGACAAACATTCATCATACCAAATTATAAATCTTTATAAACTTCAAACAAAGAAAAAAAAATATTCTTAGAATATTTATTGTTATTGAACTGTTTAAATCCAATGTACCCATATATCAAAGCATCAAAAGCCTGTAAATTAGAAATTATTACAACATTAGATAAACTATACATAAAATTGAACTCTTTAATTTGATTTAAATGAGTACTCGGATTGACCATTTATCTCATTATAAAATATTTCGATTTAAAGAAAATACGCGTAACAAGAAAAAACAACGATTTAAAGAGATTTCCTTGTATAAATATTTAAACTCGTGGTTTCTATTGTTGAAGAATTAGGAACTTAAGACTGATGGGCTATTTAATATGATCCGATCAACTTTATTTACTTGTTGAAATTAACAATAAATGAGCCCCCGTATGTTGATAATACTTATTCTATTAAAGACATACTTGTGCAGTATATGCGAACATAAATTCAATTTAAATATAAAATTACTTTTACAATAAAAGGCAGTAAAAATGTCACTAGATTGGTCATAATTATTCTTCAAAGTATAATTTAAACCAACTAACGTCAATATTATTGTCCGAACTACGTAGTATAAATAGCTTTGACATTGCACATCCCAAAACTTGTTTATGCCACGCTGCTTCGGAAGTGTTTCATGTGGCTGCAAAAAAAGCGCCCCTTAAAATGTTGTTGAAGAGGTAGTGACTGATTATGATTCAGAAGTGTCAACAACATTCAACGAGAATAAATTTATTACGAGAACATATTTTTACAATACATTGCAAAGATCTATAGAGAGGTATATTATTGTTGTAACTTCTGTAACGAAATGGTCTGATCTCGAGCTCGTATAATTTGAAAAATAAGTAAGTCTTCTGCTGGAAGCCAACCATAATCTAGCTAGCTGTGTCCAGGGTTGATCAAATCCAGGATAATTCAGATTCAATGACTTGATTGATAGCAAACATTATTTACCGATAAGCGACGGAGTGTATACCACTATAATAAATAAACTGTAGACATAACGTATCTAGTCGTTTATTTGTTGCTTTCTACAGGGTTCCGGCAATGTTTTTTCTTCCAGGAATTGAAAAATTCACTCAACGAAAAGAAGTCTATTTGTCATATTATAAATATTAGGGACCTTTGTCGTCTTTATGTTGAAATGGGGTTATACAAAAATGCAAATTGAAGCTTAAAACGTTAGGTTATTTGTCTAAAGACACTAAAAGAGGTCATACATTTAAATAATATCAAGCATGTTGTATTAAAGGGTTAACGGTATAATCTGAACTGTTTTCTTCTATTTCAGCTAAAGTAAAGTCTGATCTATAATTTTTCCTTTTCCTTTGGACATTTTGACTGAGTGTGGATTTGCATTACGAACTACTGTTGCTCTTAACTTAATTGATGAAATTGATTATAATTACTCTGTAACTACTGTCCTACTAAGCCTAAAGACAGGAAGATATCATCAGTTTTACATTGTTATAAGTTAAAAAAAAAATGGTTAAAACATGTAGTTTCCATGTACAATTATAATGTAATTGGTGACCGTTCGTGTGAAAATTAGATAATTATATAACTAATAAATGAAGTGTTAACATTATTTTGCTGGGTTTTTGTTTTCTCAATCGGATAATTTTGATAATATCTTAAGGGGGATTATCTTTATCAACTGTTTATTTCACTTTATTTACATGGATTTAAAATTCTTTTAAATATGTTCTTTTTTCAATTTAGATCCAGAAACGGTAATTAATCTTGTTCACAACCAAAATATAGCCTTTCAAAATATGGTTGAAGTCTGTTGTGCTTCTTAAAAGAAGAATGTTTGATAAAAAATACATATTAACAACTCAAATACGTATCAATTAGTACAATTTCAAATAAAAAATGAAAAAAATGTTCGATGTTAGGGGTCCCTCTTTTGTACTTATTTTTTTGTCTTTAACAATGCAATGATTATTTATACGTATAAGTATCAATTTATAAATTTACATATATGTATGCAATCATTTACATATAATAATTGTTATCATTATTTATTTTCCGGGTATTTTTTGTTTGTTTCTTGAAGCAGGTATATTGTTCATTCAAGTAAAACACATCTCCAGAAATGATATCAGATTATATTTTTATTATATGGAATAAAGCAAAAATCTGGATAGTTTAATAAGTAAACCTTATCAATGCATTAACACATATTACATATTACAAGTTATGCCAATTTGATTTTAACATTTGAAATATATATACGACTGTTTTGTTCAAATTAACAACCTATTAATAAGAACATTTCCCCCCAATAAACATCGATTATTTGCGAAACTAATAAATTTAAATATATTCAGAATTTACTGGAACGTCAGATAATCCTCCAACTGCTTATAATTCCTTTTTTTATATTTCATAATGTATCTTTATTGTATAACTTTTATGTTTTGTCATCCAAAATAAGTTTTCTCTTTCTGTCATATCAAAAATATATTTTAAACGTTAAAAACACAACAATATTAATAATTATTACAAATTGTATTGAGCTGCTTTTGAAATTGCTATACTGACAGATTGCCTTTAGGATAACAGGGAATAGTGACGTGAAGGGCGGAGTTTGGATAATTTAATCCAATCAAAGCAAGCCCGCATGATTTAGAAATTATAATTGAAATTACCGCATTTAATCACCCATATCAATCTATTGTACATCAATAAAATAAATACAGAGATGTCGCTAAATGACATCATTCCAACACTTTTAACTCTATAGACACTGTTAATTTCCAGCAAAAAAAGTTGTTCAGCTTGTATTTCAATGATGAATATAGGAGCGCATCACCCGTTAGCTTTCCATCAAGGATTTTGGTCATTTCCCGGATGTGGCGTGCATCCAGCTTTTCTTCAAACTCAGTATTCAAATCTTCACGCACACCATACTGGGAGTTTCGCCAGCAAATCTAGTGCTTTTACCATTGACGCTATATTGAATAGAGACCACGTTGAAGAAAAACAAATTCCGTCTTCAAAATCATCAGAAGTTTACACATCTAGTCATGGAAAATTTAAAGATTCAGAAGAAGTTCAGAGAAGACAACAGCGCCTTTTTGAAACTTCTCATCCTTATCTCTCACCCAAAGATAAAGTCTCTCCTATAAAGAAAGTCACAGATTTTTACGGTAAGAATTCATTATTATCTTATCATTATTATTATCATCGATATTATTCACATGAAGAAACCAAAACGAAATTAAGTTCGAGCTTCAGCATTAATTACATTTTTTTACAACTTTGCTACATGCCCAAGAAATACGACGGAATTTTAATGTTTCGTTCCTCTTTTATTAAATGAAAAAAAGTAGAATTCCTGAGAAATATGCAAAAATATGCATGAAAAAATTAACGGAGGAGCCATGGATCTTTTACATTTTTAGGAAATGCAATCAAAAAGCATACAATTGTCAATTGCTTGCTTAGAATAAATCTGGCTATTTTGACTTTACAATCGTCGGTAACAGCAGGCTTTTGAATGGTTTACGTTGGTAGATTTTTTTCGTAGAAAATCTTTATTTTTCAGTCAAAACTATAATTATAACGCTAATATAGATGGTTACATGTAATATTAAGACATAAGCATCAGATAATAAAGGAAGATGAAGTGATATATAAACAGAAATATTTAACATTTTTCATACCAAAATCACCAATCTGTATGTTTGGAAAATTCGTAAAAATAGAATTATATCCGAGTCGTCCTTATCTGGCAGTAACACAACGCTTGAGTTGTTAAGCTCATTGTTGACGATCACACAGTACCATACAGTCGATTAAAAAAAAATTATATTTTTTGGTATGCGATTTCCTAGTTTATATTTTATAACTGTGTTTCATGTCCGATCCAAAACCCTCTTGCACCAAAATACATGAACATTTTAAGCGCATAGAAGTTCTGTTAAACAATTTCTTTTAAGGAAAGGTTCCCCCACTATAGTTTTATTTTACAAAATTCTCAAAATAAAGAATAAACTTTATTGTAATGAGTGAATATTTTAGATATCAAAGTTTCGCAAGTTAATGAGGTGTTGATAAGAAACAAATTAACTGGTATCATATAACTACTAACTTGATAGTAGAAAGAAAGCGCCGGTTCCCTCAAGCTGTAACAGCTATATATAGTGTGAAAATAGAAATAGTATATAAGTTTCTGATTTAATAAATGTCATGCTGATTTTCAATTTGTTTGAATTTGTATAAATTAAAAAGTGTGGGAATATTGTATATATTGTTAAATCAAGATTGAAATGTATAATCGACTTTACAAAGCTTCCAAATTTTTCTTACATAATATGTGGCAAACGGTGTTTGGATTCAATTATGTTCTCTTCTAATTAAATAGCCCGTATGCAGAGACAATAAATATTCTATGAAATGTGATAATTTAGTTTTTAAGTTCCATGCATGGGAGAATTATTTACCTCCGTTTCAGTTCAAATTATGCATAGTAAAGATATTCGAACCACACACACACATACGCAAATGTTTTTTTTTTGCAAATTGCCGATAAGTTTGAAATGCATGTTTGCAAATTTGCATTTCATTAACGGTTGTAACAGACAGAGTAGAAAGATTATCTTATTCAGAAAGAAAAAAATCTAATATTTGGTCGTATTAAAACTTTATATATTAAATAGCTAAATGTATGGAATTAAAAGAAAATAATGAATAAATATATTCGAATATTAAGTGAAATTAAACAGGAAGATGTAGATAAAAAATTATAAATAAAACCAAAGTTAAAAAGAAACTAAAACACAAATACTTCCAAAAAATTATCATTTATTAGTTCGACGACATTTTTTTTCAAATAAAGTCCGTCAATCGTCAGACCACTCTTGCTATTCATAAATAGCATATTCATCATTGAATGTTTCATTTCTAAGTAAAATTCGTAAATCGATTACAATTATAAAAATTGGTTATCTGCATTATAATTGAGACTTTCCCATAAAAATTGTTTGACGAAAAAAACTACAATCAAGAAAATATGAAATATAGTAACCTTTTTTATATGAGTAAAAAGAAAGGCCAATAAAAACTCATCAAAGATACCAGGCTTAGAATTGTGTAGGCCAGACTTGCGTAACATATACATAAGACTCATTTGTGGCGCTCGCTACAATCAAAACAGTTGGAAAGCTAAATCATGTACGAAGTTGAAGATCATTGAAAACCAAAATTTCATAAAAGCTGTGCCGTATGCGGTTATGGTTATCTTTTCCTGGGGGTAACAAATCCTTAGTGCCTTGAAAACAAATGTTATTTTATTAACTGTAAATTAAAAAAAAATGACCATATCAATTATATTCATGTCAGTTATTTAAACGCTAATGACACAACTTAAATAAAAGGAGAAGAGGGGTATACGTCAATGAGATAGCAACTCAACGACACGCATAAACTAAACAAAAAATTATAAGACATTAGGTCAACAGAGGGTCAAATAGTCTTAAAACAGTCTAAAGCTCTAAGTTTAAAAAAAGTTGTGAATGAAAATTTATCAGAGACTATTGAATTTCTGTCTTAATATTCAGCTCGAAATTGTTCAAGATGGCAAGAGCATTTAGAATATACATGTATGTGAAAAGACACCCAGTGACGAAGTTCGTGACTTCGGACTACACAGGAACACTAGGCAGGGTAAAACTATCTATAACTAATAGATATTGATTAAACTCTAATCTTTGCCAGTGAACAGTTAAAAGATGTGGTATGATTGCCAATGAGACAACTCTCCTCGAGAGACCAAATGACATAGAAGTTAATAACTATGGGTCACTGTACGGCCTTCAACAATGAGCAAAACCCATACCGCATAGCAAGCTTTAACAGACCCCGAAATGACAGATGTAAAATAATTTAAACGAGAAAACTAACGACTAGATTTATGTACAAAACAATAAACGAAAAACAAATTTGATATACAGTAGGTATATACAACTCTTAAGAAAAATTAAAAAAAAAATGTGTCAAGGTTATTTGTGTACTTGTGTACATTACTTACTCACTTGTTCGTTTTTGTTGTTGTTGTTTGTTTTTTGTTGTTGTTTGTTTTTGTTGTGTTTTATTGGAGGGGGGAGGGCGTAATTGGTTTTTGTTGTTTTTATTTTAGTAATAAGTTTTTTTATGACGTAGCTCTGATGTGAAAAGTAGAATTATTATGTATATAAAAAAAGGATCAGAAACAAGCAGTTGCCTTCTTTTTTTATTTTAATCTTGTCTACTAAAACATTACACACACATTATATAATCTGATAGTACTTGAAGTTTTCATGTATACATGTATATATACTCTGTGATTAACTACAAATAGCACTTATACATTTGGTGCGTCTGAAGCGTTTTTCTACATGCGAACCAATATAATATATATGTATAAAAAAAATCGCACATGAATTTATATGAATAGTAAAGTATAAAGTAAAAATAAAAGTGGCTAAAATATAATGCAGAGAATGATTTAATGAGTAATGTCGGTATCTATTTGAAGTGGTAGTTCCAACAACTTTTCTTCTTAAATTCTCGTAAATAAGAATGTAAATTTGTTTGCAAAATGGCATCAACGACAGTATTGGACTCTACTAAGTTGCAAACGGAAACAATTCATCGGTGGTTAAGGATTATAGAAAAGGCTTTCTTAAAAGTGCGCGGAAAATTTGTCCTAACAGGATCGAACGTGATTGTATCTTGGTATACCTGGAAGCGATTTTATGTAAATAATTCAGTAAGTTTGCTTTTTCTTTCGTGAAGGGATAGGTTAGTCCGAAGTTTCATTGTGGCTGAAATGGAAAAACCGGAGTAAAAACGTGTTTTGGTGTTGGTTTCGCGTGTGTAACCTCTTTGCCGAGTGTCGTTACCGTTTTTTCCTGCTGCAGGATTTGGTATTGCGTTTACCAAATATGTTCTTCTGGTTGGGAATCACATTTATCGAAACTGTTTCTTAATGAATGCATCTAAACGGTCTTTGTACGTTACATAACTTTCACGTGGGAATTTTCGTTTAGTAATGATGCAAAATAAAGCAAAAGAGAACTGTATAAATATAAAGGAGAGATCAACAGAACTTCTTTTAATATACTCTATCTAGTAAATAAACGATTTTTAATATTGCTGCGATAATTATATAGTTTTAATAGAAATGTGAATACCTTTAGAGATTAATAGTTATTTAAAGTTTGTCACTTAGATTTTTGGTTACTTCCCCGTTTTGTTCATTCTTTTCTGCGACAATTAATTTTGAAAGTTTTAAAAGGTTTGCAAACACCATTTAGAACGTTTTACAAAGTTCTGAGCAAACATCAGGTGTTTTTAGAATATTGTATTTTCGATCTCTCTAAAATGACATTACCCTGTTCTATAAGTTAATTACACGCTACTCTTATTAAATACACACAGACCTATGTTCTTTTTTCTTCATACCCATTGATTATATTTTCACAGTTTGGGAAAGAAAAACTAGAGTATATTTGACCCGGAATATTTTATCAATAATTTTTTTTAGATTTTCATTTAATATGAGTAAATTGTTCCCTGTCATTATATCTGAGATAATCAAATATTGCCGGTATTTACCAATGAGAACGCAGGTGACGTGTTATAATTAAGCCGACCACGCCCCTTCACTAAAATGTTATAATTAAGCCAACGACGCCCCTTTACTAAAATACAATGCATTGCCTTTTTGTCAATTTGGAATATCAATACGTTGAATAATTTAGCATTTAAATATACCCCTCAAAGATACGAAGATGATTATTAAAATTAAATATTACTTTAATTACTGGATTGAAAAGTGAATTATTTCAATATCTGCAGATGGTCTTATTGACCAAGGAATAATTTCTATAACTCGTATGGTTGGTAATTGAATAATTTCTGAAAATAGAAGTTCAGCCCATATATTTATATTTGGTCGTAAACACTTTTTTTTTAAATATCTATATTTTATCTAAAAAAAAAATACAGTCTAGTTGATAAATGATTCCCTTGTATATAAAATTATTTCAAATATTTTGATCGATTTTCATTCAACATAAATTTCTATGTGTCTTTAGATATTTTATCTTGATATGAAAGAGCGGAAAACAAAAGCAATGTTGAAATATCTTTATAAATACGCAAAAATATTTCAGAGTTTTTCTCAAAATTTCAGGTCCGTTTTCTCACGTTTGTATTTCAATCATTTGCAGTACTTAAAAGGCAAAAATCACTGTATTTCCGGATATCATTGGCCAGTACATAGTAACAAATTGACTCCCCTCTTTCCATTCGATTGCTTATGATTTCACATAGAAAATCTGTACATTTAGATGTACGGCGACCGCCTGCATATCATTTTTGGAATAAATTAAAAGACGACTTCGTCTCTTTCTCGTTTTCCTTTATTTTTCTTTATCAATTAACAAATATCTCGTTATTTTGTTTTGACAATATCATTTTAAGTTGTTATTTTTATTTGCTTCTAGACCGACCTGAGAAAGAACTGAAAGGTGACTGGAAACAAGGGAAAGGTAAACGAGTACGAACTATCTTTACTCCAGAACAACTCGAAAAACTGGAGGCGGAATTTGAGAAGCAACAGTATATGGTTGGCACTGAAAGGTGAGTCAATGATGATAGAATACTTCTTTTTTGTAATATTATAGGGTTGTTAAAGCGTTAATCTGGCGCATCTTTTTAGTCACGATGAAGTGTTTCCGCGCTTCATATAAAATTTGCTTCGGTCAACGCTTTTACATTTAAATAAAACTTAAACAAAACATTCAATTCTTAAGTATAACCCACAATTACTTTTCTTTATTAACATATTGCATTCATTATACATATATATATATAGTGTTGCATTGATTGCTCAAATTTAATGAGAACTCTCAAAACTCTTCAAATATGGGTCTTCAAATATTTAATTTTCGTTTACACCTAAACAGACAAGGAAAATATTTTTGATAACAAATTTGATAAAATATATAAACAAAAGTTCGGACACATTATTAAAATTTTTATTCCGTTCAAGATTATATCATGGAACAAGTTTCCTGAACATGTATAATACTATGCACAATCAAATCAGCTAAAGAAACAACAGAAGTCTTAGATAAGGACTAGTAATGGACTTGTGGTAATAAAAATGCAAATATGATGAAATACGTTATTCTATTTTATTTCAGATACTATCTAGCCTGTTCTTTAAACCTAACAGAAGCTCAGGTAAAAGTTTGGTTTCAAAATAGACGTATAAAATGGAGGAAACAAAATTACGAGCAACAACAGGCTAAACTTTCCCAACTGACAATGTACAAAGATGACGACGATTCAGAAAGTGGACATAGCGAAAACGGACAGTCATTCCATAATTTGACATCGGACATGACACCGCGATCTGTATCACCGTACTAATGAAGAAAGTGGTATAAAATGCATATCTTCATCTTCAGAAATGGAAGTAGTATTACTGCCTTGTATACTGTAAACATGATATTATGAGACCAGAACCGGCCGAGAATATCAGCTGATCGTGTTTGGTAACCTGACATTAACTGTGATAGTTATTTAAGACTTGTTTACTGTGTAAATTTCTTTACTGTAAATTCAACATTCTAAATAGTGCTATAAAAAATGGAATGACAGAATGAACGAGACTGAAAAATATTTATAATTGTTGTTGAAATAATAAATTAAAATGATATTGAACATTGCAAATTTTTTTCAATAACTGTCTTGTGAAAAAAAAAACACGTGCTGTAAGTTAGAATTTGGAAGTTGTACGTGTAACACCCTTTCTTCAATAATCTGTATTCCGGAAAACATAAAAAAATATGTGGTTAGGGTTAGTAGTAATAATCTGAACAATGAGCGACCTATTGCAAGTTCTTTACAATTTCACATTAAGGCAATCGTCTGTTTTATCAAGTTATATGAAGGAAGTCGGATATAGTTCGAACGTCCCTATAATGAAGGGTTAACATGTACTACGAAACCAAGACACATTTCTTATATTATTTTATATTTTATCAGAATTAAGTATTGTTGCTTTTCTCCCGACGTTTTTAGTTTCTACAGAATCCTACTTTCTCGATATATTCACATATGGTGATGAAAACAACATGATAAACATCATGGCTAGTCTGGAAGTAAAGGACAACATGAAAAACATCATGGCGAGTCTGGAAGTAAAGGATAACATGAAAAACATCATGGCTAGTCTGGAAGTAAAGGATAACACAATTGTAACACGCTTCTTTTTATTTTAAACTAGAACATCAGAAAATGCTATGGTAAAATTAGACTGTCTAGTTCAACACTTTTCCCTTACAATCTACACTAGAATGTTTTTGATTTAAAACATTTATTAACATACATGAACGATTGTATTTTACTGACCAAGTTAAACTTGTTTACCCGTAGATCAATTTGAAGTATCTAATAAGTTCTTAAAACATCTACATTTCTTTTTCATGAATTTTCCAAAGAATCTCATTTCCATAAATAAACAGTAAGATGGTATTGACATTAATTTGTTTATTGGTCTTTTATTTGGATAATGACCAACATGGATACCAGTCTTTAACATTATTGAATGATTGTACACTTAAGTTTGCTTCTAATGTGGTTCCACGGCAACAAAAAACAATAATGTCTTCATTTAACGAGAAATAATGAAAATGAAGTGTCTGGTACTGTGGACATAATTAAAACATCACTCAATAACGTAGAACTAATGATCAGGGTCTTTGACGGATCAGCTAATTTCCCGCTTTAAATATGGCCGCCATGTCAGCCATTTCATTTGACGTTTTTAATAAAGACGATTAATGACAATGAGGCCGCACACTCCTGTTAATTCATTTACATGCTAGACGACTTAACTTTCCATTATTTTGAAGTCTAGAGACATTACAGAGAAAGAGACAGTAGCAAGGCTCAAGTAGATAATATTGATAAATGTCAAATGTAAACAAGGACAAATTTGCACGCTTTTAAATTAAAAATAAGAAATTGTTTAGTAATTGAGAATTTGTTCCCAAAAATTTAAGACAGACGAAGGGTTTATTTAAAGACAACCTTTCGTGAAACATTTTAACTATTACATTTGAAAAAAAAATATGAAATTAAAGTTATCGCTCGCTCGAATAATAAGCTAAGTTATTTACAATTGAATTGATGAGTTTCTTGTCGAAATATAAATCTTACCATCATATCTTTCATAAAAGTAGCTAACTGCTTTATTATATACTGTGAATAAATTGTCACCTATATTTTATCACCATGCGGTGACGCCGGGTAAGAATCTACATCGAGCTCTAAGAATCTACATCGAGCTCGATCAAGACATTTTACCAATGTATCAATACATAGTGATACGGAGTACAATCAAATATTAAAAGCTCTGTTTCATTAGATACTGATATGATTTTCAAATTGAAAAAAAGAAGATATTTCTTTTAATGCCGACACCTTCTGTTTTTTTCAAACTTGGTCGGCGGGACATCCGCTCCTGTTTGCCTTTACAAAATACCATTGTTTGTTTCTAAATAAAAATATAATAACATTAACGGCACCAAATTTATATTGCACCAGATGCTCATTTCGATAATCGATGTCTCTTCAGTGATACTCGAGGCCAAACTATGTTCTTTCGTTCATCTTTTATGAGGTTGATACTTTTATTGGCACAGTCTTGTAAGCATTCCAACTAACCCAGTTTTCAAAACTTTAAAAGGAATAGAAAAATGTGTGGTGTTCAATACATACTAAATGTCTATCTGTATACCAAACGACTATTTCAATCGCATTATTTTCTTCTCGTCCGATGATTCGGAATATCATAAAGGCATCCACTTTGTCAATTTAAATAATATTCTAATGGTTACCAGTAACAGAGACTACAATAACCACAACAAACCAAAACCGGGTCTGGACCTGCATAGTAGTATACAACTGATTGAGGTAACATGTGTACAGAATCATACCTGATGAACCTGATTTCCAAAACTATGTTCAATTGGATTTGAATAAAGTACTTTCAATTATGTAATATTCAGGGATGAAAATTTTTGAATACAATCTTTTAAAATTCCTTATACAATGAGGTTTGTAAAATTTCAAATTATCGACAAACAGGAAGCGGATGCACGGCCGATTTAAAAATTGCTTACACGCTACAACTAAACATTATCCCAGCCAAGAAGCCAAGAAGCCTAGAAAAGATTGATAAAAATTTCCGCGTACAATGAATGTTGTAAATTTTCATACTATTGGCAAACAGGTAGCAGCTGCTCGGCAGATTTAAAAACTTTTTACACACTACAACTCAACATTATCAAGCTCTAGATCAAATATAACTTATTCACTTCCATAGAAGCCATAAACAGATTGACAAATAGTGTACAATGAATGTTGTAAAATTTCAAACTACTGGCAAACAGGTACACGACAGATCTAAAATTGTTAACATGCTACAACACAATCAAGCTGCAGATCAAATATAAAATTATTCCCTTTCATAGAAATTTGATAAATTTTCTAACTAAGGTCTTTTGGACGGACGGACAGACAGACGGAGTTGAGCGGCGTTGGCAACGCAGGTAAAATTATAACCAGTCAGGTCTGAGTTATGTCTCTTTGTCCGACGAACATCACTCTTTAAAACCACCCGAGTTGGCAAAAAGAATGTTTGAAAATTGTGTTTTATGCCTGAAGATATTGAGTTGAATATCTCATCCCCTTTTAGTTGAAATTTTTTCATTTTTAAGTCTCTATGGCATTTTTCTATATCATCCATAATCATTGCATTCCATATCTGTTCTGTTCTGAGAATAATATTGTCCTCATGTCTACATCACAATTTGAAAACAGTGTTTTATCTACAATGCTGACTTGGATTTAAAGAGAGTAAGTATTTGTTCCAATATACATGTATCTTTCACAGCTGAAAATAGTTTTATACAATTTTTTTGAAATTTATACAGAGTTGTTTTCATTTTTCACAGAACTAGGTCAATACCGCTGCTGGTGAACTATAAGTCACTAAGGGTATAATTAGCTTAAAAGTCATAAATTAATAAGAAACAAATGTTTCAACTCTCTCAGGTAAAGTTGATCTTAGATTGATTTGGCTAGTATTTTAGGTCCTTTTTGGTCATATAGCTCTTCAACTGTTTCGGTTCTAATATACTTGTATATAATCATTGGCTTTCAAATATATAATTATTAGCCTGGTATCTTTGAGGAGGTTTTTAACATGACCTAAAAAAAACAAATCAGCTTTTATTAACTAAAAGACAAATTGAAAGAGTAGGTATTACTTTGTTTCCTTAAAAAGAATGGCGAACGTAGATATAAGTATCTTGTCTTGGGGAGGGATAAATCCTACTTTGTAAAGAATCACTCTGATTCAAACAAAAAATTCTCTGAAACTGACATTATCAAGATGCTTGATTTCTTGATTGACAACATATTTGTTACGTTTGGAGGACGTGTTTTTCAACAGACTGTCGGAATTCCAATGGGAACCAATTGTGCCCCTCTTCTTGCCGACTTGTTTCTTTATTATTATGAGGCTGACTTCATACAGGAACTTCTTAGGAAGAAAGATAAGAAGTTAGCAATATCCTTTAACTTTATGTTCCGCTATATAGATGATGTTCTCTCACTAAATAATACAAAATTTGGTGACTATGTTGAACGAATCTATCCCATCGAACTAGAGATAAAGGATACTACAGATACAGTTAAGTCTGCCTCACATCTTGACTTACATCTAGAAATTGACAATGAGGGTCGGTTGAAAACAAAACTTTACGACAAAAGAGATGATTTCAGCTTCCCAATTTAGAACTTTCCATTTCTATGTAGCAACATTCCAGCAGCGCCTGCATACGGAGTATACATCTCCCAATTGATACGATATTCCCGGGCTTGTATTTCCTATCATGATTTCCTTGATAGAGGATTGCTGCTCACAAGGAAGTTATTAAACCTAGAGTTCCAAATGGTGAAGTTGAAATCATCCCTTCGTAAATTTTACGCCATCACGAGTTGGTTGACCGTTATGGATTAACCGTTTCACAGATGATATCGGATATGTTTCTTATGTCGTGACTACAATACCCTTCCCTTTTCACGAATGTGACCTACCAAATTTAGACTATTTACCGGATTTGTAATAACATAAGCAACACGACGGGTGCCACATGTGGAGCAGGATCTGCTTACCCTTCCGGAACACCTGAGATCACCCCCAGTTTTTGGTGGGGTTCGTGTTGCCTAGTCTTTAGTTTTCTATGTTGTGTCATCTGTACTATTATTTGTCTGTTTTTCTTTTTATTTTTGGCCATGGCGTTTTCAGTTTGTTTTCGATCTATGAGTTTGACTGTCCCTCTGGTATCTTTCGTCCCTCTTTTAAAATCCATGCTATCAGAATGTATTTCCTCAAGTCCGCATATTTCGTTATAATCAGGATTTGTGGGATATACAATTTACATGAGCGAACATTGATATCAGATTACTAATATCTTATCTTAGACTTTTATGTCAATTTGTTGTTTGTTGTTTGTTGTTGTTGCTGTTGTTATTTTTTTCATGTTGCAAAATTTGAATAAAAATACTGAAGAAAGCTTCAGTTTGAATAGCGACTCTTGAACAGAAAAAATAAATACAAACATTTTGAATTGTAAACATATATTTTTTC